GTGTTGGTACTCCTTCCACTCTCACAAGCACACACAAGTTGGGCAAATTATTAATAAACAGCCCTTCAAGCTTATCGAGTACTGGACAACATAATGAGGGGGAGGATGATGAGTCCAACTCAACCACGCACTCTATCCCTTCACACCATCTCATATCACATCTTCTTAACTCGGTTGCATTTTCTAGCAAAACTATTTTGTTTAAGCTCCTGCTTGTCATGTTTTGCATGTGTTCAATCCACAAACCCTCAAGGTTATGTGGAAGCACCACCATACATTCTCCATCTATCTTAAGCTCATTAATTTCAAGCCAACGTTTAAATTGAAAACAACTTCTATGAGCACTCCATTGATATGACAATTTTTCATCTGTCTTGTCTGTTTCTGGTCTCCGCTCTCCCTCGTATACCCAATGCGCAAGAGTCCCGTCACCCACTATAAGCCCGTAAGCTGTAAGACTTCGGAAATTTTTAGACTCACTCACAAAAGAATTCAACTCATGTATGCCATCAAATCGACATTCTAAAATCTCTAACTTTTTCAAACTCGCAACCTCTTCTAAATCTATCTTTATACTAGTTCCTGCCAAACAACATACTGCCAAGTACTGTAGACTAGAAAGTTTAGGCAATGTTCCTGTTGGAATGTCTTTCAAATCTCTACAAAAGAAATTAAGATATTCAAGACTTTCCAATAACTCCATGCCTTGAGGGACCACCTCTATTCCTGCACCTCGCAGATCCAACTTCTTCAGTGCCCTAAGCTTCCTTAAGGAAGGCAAGCACTTTAACCTCTGGCACCCCCTCAACCGCAATACAGAGAGATTCTCCAAGTTACAAATGGAATCAGGTAAAGTCTCAATATCAGTTCGAGAAAGATCAAGAACCTTGAGTGTGCCCATATCTTCAAAAATGGATTTTGGAATCTCCGATATATGATTATCTGATAATATCAAAGTTGAAAGACTCGGACACTTCAATGACAAACCAGCAGGAAGTTCTGAAATGTAAATCGCCATTAGAGACAACTTCTTGAAATCCTCGGCCCACCCTCGCTCATTCGCTACCCCTCTCAATTCTTTTACCATATATCCAAATTCAGGACCGATGCTGTTGATAGCCATGTCTCTCACTACATCATGCATCTTAAAAACATCATGAGATCCGAAGCGCACAGTTTTCTCAATCAAACAATTCTTTACAAGCTTGTCTAATAAGGCATGACCCCTATCATATGCTTTTTGTCTACTTCCCAAATCATCAATATCAATTAATCCATCATCAATCCAACCTTCTATCAACTCCATTCTAAAAAACTCATAATCTTCTCGAAACAAGGAGCAATACAGAAAACATTTTTTGATATCCAACCGATCCAAACGATCAAAACTAAATCTTAACCGTTGAAATATCTGATCATCCCAATCATTCACACCCTCTACACGTTCTCGTAATTCAGTTAGTGCATTTCTCCACACATTAACATCATCTACTCCCCTCATGCTTGCTGCTATCACAACAATGGCGAGTGGTAAACCGGCACACTCTTCCACAATGAGCTTCAAAATGTCTTCTAACCCTGTAACTTGCAAAATATCATCCCCAACAGTATCTAGGAATAACTTTAGAGACTCCTCTTGTGAAAGAGGTTGCACTTTAACAATCTTACAATGCAAAAAACTGCATACTTCAATTGATCTACTAGTGACAACTACTTTGCACCCATTCTGCGCCTTCGGATCTGGAATTCCAACATCCTTAAGAGAGAACTTGTCCCATACATCATCTAATATTAGCACAAATTTCCTTCTTCCCATTATATCCATTAGTTCTGCCGCTCTCATCTTCTCTTCCTTATCTTCCGAAAGTGTTTCCCCCATTCCACCAGCAATCTTCTTTTGTAATTCAAAAACATTGAGAGGATGTGATACAGTAACCCAGAGAAACTTTTGAAACTTGGTCTCCTTCCTCAAATGATTGTAAACATGCTCCATGATCGTAGTCTTTCCAACTCCACCAATCCCACATACTCCAATTATTCCGAACTCGTCACCCATCAAGTACCCCCAAATTTCTTCTTTAGTAGAAATTTCCCCCACTAAATTCTCTGTTGGAATTATGACTTCACGAGCTGGAGCTTCCCCAATCACAAGGCCTTCACTGAAAATGCCCCTCTCATAAATTTTCTTCACCACTTCAATTTGTTCACGCACGAGTTTATCAAAACCGGCACGTTTGTAGAATGGAACCCCGTTGTCCACCCTTTTTTTAACATGTTTCACGTCTTTTTTGATCTTTTTAACATCTTTAAGCCATCCCCTCACTTCTTTTTTCACCTTTTGCCCGTGGTGAACCTCTGCGTTTATTCTTGAATTAATAT